AATTTTTTAATTTTTGTACGATTTTGAAAATTTTTTTAAAAGTTTTACTCCACCCTCATTGCTGGTTTTAAGAAGACGATGACCTGTCATGAACAAATCAGGCCGAACCAGGACCAATATTTTCCAACCATTACGGTCCAACATGTCGGACGTGGCGGGCCACCAGCACTGTATTTAGAGCTGGCCTCCCTTTTGAATTCCTATGGTAGTTTGGTAACCTTAGAAACTAGAAAGTGTTTGAATTTTCACCCAAAACTAAAACAAAAAAATGTGTTATATAGTCAAACTATGTCACTACACAATTTGAATTATTGCATATATAAGGGTAAATTTTTTGATATTAAGAGTTTTATTTTTATTTAATAATTTTTTTTACAATTTATTATAATCTAAATTATCAAACAAAAAACTTAAACTAAAATATAATCTTTAATATAAAAAAATATTTTACAATTTGAACTGATTCCAAATATAAAATATGTACTAATGTTTTGATGAGATTAAATTTTTTAATATTGAAAGTCTTCTTTTATTAAATTATTTTTATTTTATAATTTATTTTATAATCTGAATAACTCTAAACTATAAAACAAAATCCTCATCTCTAATAACAATTTTTAAAGACATGCCATCAATTTCGGTGGTGCAATGTTAATTATCTTTCATTGGTAAAATTAGGAAGTGTTTGAAATTTTAGAGGAGGGGAGAAGGATATCCTCCTTTTGGCTCCAACTCAACATTCAAATGTAATTACCCCACTAAAGCAACCAGCAATTTTAAGTTGCCTGGGAACGTGAGAATTAGCAAGGGGAAGTTGTAGATGTACTGTGAATTCTCCAACACAAATAATTCTGTTTAGATTGTGGCATGCACGCATGAGTCATGACCCCTGAGAAATCGTAAGCGTGTTGTATTTTTGTTTGCAAAGCTGTTTCCAGTTCTACAAGGGAATGCAACCTGTGTGCTGCACAGCATTATTTTTCGCTGGTCAACATCACAGTTTGATGGAGGAATCTATGTTTGAAGTTTCCTAGAAAATTCATGGCATAACATAAGAAAAATGGGACCGACATATAGGCTGTTAATTTGAATAAAAAAAATAACATGAATATATATATATATATTTTTGGGTATATATGAAAATGAGTTATATACTAATACAACATCAGATGTATTTAATTTAGACAACATTCCTATAATAATCAAAGCACAGTTTAGGTTTAGAATTCAATCCCCTTTCTAAACATACAAAAGAGAAAATATCCAAACCCAAATATATGGTAATTAGTAATTAGTTACCATCAACTTTACAAATCATTCCCCTAAAAAAGCAAGCGAAACCTATAAAAGGCTATAAGGTAGCGTAAGAATCTTTGTGTTCTTTTTTACTTTCATTAAAAAAAAAAGAAAAAAAAAAAAGAAAACACACACTCACACACAAAATTGAATTTGGGATAAGAGGGATTTTTACAGAAGCAGGGTTCATAGAGTGCACTTCCAACACAGCGCAAGTGCTATCTTTGTATACTTTTCAAAATAAAGGAACCGCAAGACTTTTACTTTATTTATTTTTTATTTTTTTAATATTATAATTATAATAACATATAAAATTATAATCATAATATATCATTAAAAGAGTATGATATGTTATTAAATAAATAAAAATATATTATATCATAAAAAAATATTTTAAATAAAAAAATTAATTATATACATATTATAATTTACAATTTAATATAACATTATAACTATCATAATTATAACATTTTTGACATTTTTTTAGGGGAGGTTTGGTGGGAAATTTCTAATGATTGGTTCAACTTCTCCACTTCAGAAGAGAAGTTAGAAACTATTCCTTTTCTATTTAGATTGCTAAGAAAGACAAATTAGGAGCTTCAAAATTAAACTTGTGCTCGTTTTGATTGATTTTCTATGAATAATTATTTTTATTCCAAATCAAGCCTTTCGCATAAGAATTGTTGACTAGGAACATGGTTGTTTAGGTCAACAAAGCAAAGGGCATGGCATTGGCATCCAATTATTGACCCTTTTTTAAAGGAGTGAATGGTGTATGGGCTCCACGATGCTACCACATCTCTCAAATTTACACGATACCATCCCTACATGTTCTCTCTTTTATTAGGGGTTGGGGACAACAGGAGGGAGTGGTTTAGTTACGGAAGAAACTTCAATTATTGAGAACAATTATTTATTTTAAGACATGAATGATATAAATGATCTGCTTTTGAACATTTGATTAAAACATAGAAGAAATGCCTAATGAGCTTATTCCGGCCATAAGCCTCACATTCAAAAAGAAAATCCCATTAGTAGATCATTAGACATATAAATTTTACTTTTGCCTGTGTTTTAACTTGCAGACCAAATTTATGTTAATATTTAGGGTAAAAACCTATTTTTAGCCATTTACCTTAATAAGTTTGTAGGTTTTAACCTATTATCTTATATTATGACATTTTTAACTTCTCACATGTAAGAATTGAAGAAAATAACCCTTATTCAATGTCAAGTTATAACGTCTTGTTAATTCTGTTAGCTAATTGTTAGTTTTATTAGCTAACAGTTAGTTTTGTTAGTTGATTATTAACTATATTAATTGACTGTTAGCATTTCGTTAATGGAATTAACAAATAAAATTGAATTTAAGTTCCATGTTTTTTATAGCAGAATATTAACAGTCAGCTAATAGAATTAACAGTTAGCTAACAAGACATTAAACAAAGGTTATTTTCTTCAATTCGTATAGATGAAGGGCTCAAAGTGTTATAGTATAAGGTGAGAGGTTAAAACCTACAAATTTATTAAGATAAAGGGCTAAAAGTAGGTATTTACCAATATTTAGCGGAATAATATTCAGTGCTGATATGGATTATACGTTGAGCATCATAATGCTAATGATCATCCAACAAAGCACAAGAAGAACACAATGAATGACTTTATTACACGCCAATTGCCAACCAACAAGAGAATGGAAAAGAAAAGAAAGAATGCCAGCTGACAAAATAAGACAAAAAGAAGGAGGAAAAAAAAGAAAAACCTTAAAAGCTAGATTGTTGCATTATTTTATATGGGGGGAGGTGGCACACCAAAATAACGGTTCTTGCCAAGTGATCTCTTGCTGTAGCCAATGCTTGGCTTATAGCCTGCAAATATTAGAAATAGATATATGTTAGTATCAGATAAAGACTTAGAAAGATGAGAGCTTCCAAATGCCAATCAGTTCAAGGAAATGTTGGTGTTAGTGGGGTTTTTGCGTGTACTTCAAGTTGATTGCAACTTTTTAAGGATTGGATAAACATTTTTTAGCAATAAACCAAAAGTTGGTTGCTTGTGTTATGGAAACACATCTTGTCAACACAGCTCATGAATCTGGCTCATGAATCTGCACTAATTACAGCAAATATAATCAGCATTATATGCAGGATATCAATCACACTTATTTGTATATATTTTCTATTATTGTATATCTTTAATTTCCATAAATAACTACAGACCTTGTGTATATAGGATACTCAATTCTGTGAATAATATATATCAGTTTCATTCTCAAGTTTCTGTCTTAATAGTGGTATCAGAGCCATGGTCTCAAGCAGGACTAACATCAAACAACCATGGCCAACGAAACACCCAAAACCACCGATTCCAAAACCCAAAAGTCCAGCTCAAGCAAAACCGTGATTACCACACCCACTATTATCAATACCAGTACCAGTTCAAACAATATCATAGCCTTTGTTGCTGCTCAATTCCCAGTCAAACTCACCTCTGATAATTATACCATGTGGAGTCGACAGTTTACCTCATTGCTCCGAGTTTATCGACTGACTGATTTTTTGCAGGGTACTAGGCCATGTCCTCCAGAAGATGACATACCCGACTCACCATATGATTTGTGGGTGAGGCAAGATCAATCAATACACACGCAATTATGACTTCAGTATCAGAATCCATTCACCCATATGTATCTAGTGCAGAGACCTCGCATGAAGCTTGGGTGATACTTGAAAGACTTTATGCAAATAGCTCTCATACGAGAGTTAATGCATTGAAAGAAAGGCTCCAGAACCTTCGGTGTGAAGGTAGAGCGGTAGTAGAGTATCTTCACACTATAAAAATCCTAATTGATCGGATTGGAAATGCAAAAAAGGTACCCCTAAACAATTCTGACATTCAAGTTTATCTGCTTAACGGTTTGGGACATGAATACAGGGAATTCAAGGCCTCAATTCGAGCCTGTGATGGACCCCCATTGTCATTTGAAGACTTACAAGATCGACTATTAGCCCATGAAGAGTCTCTACAAAGAGAGGAGGCTCTTGTTGGTGATACCAATCCACCAATTACAGCACAATTTGCTTTTGTGCATCCTCGTACTATTGGAAATCCTAGCGGCTATGGTGGCTTCAATGCTTGGAACTCGTTAGGTGGCCATTATGATGGAGTTCAAACACACTTCAATCGAACTTCTAAGCCCAACTCAACAGCTTCACCTTATACCAACAGCCAATTTAATGGGTATGCCCTAAAGGGTTGTGGAGGAGCCCGAGGAAACCGTGGAGCCCGAGGAGGGAAAAATAATCGAAATTCCTCCAACATGTATAATAGTTACAATGCTAATGCATGTCAATTGTGCAATAGTTTTGGACATTTTGCCAGGAACTGTCCTGAACTCAAAAATCATGCTCATGTTGCCAACTTTGCAACAATTTCCACTTTAAAGAAGGGTGATTGGTGGATAGATTCTAGAGCCTCTAATCATGTTACTCTTGACTTGGCAACCTTAGCACTTCACTTAGAATATGATGGGTCTGATGAACTACTCATTGGTGATGGATCAAGTTTGACTATCTCACATGTCGGTCACACCACACTATTAAGCAACTCTAAGCCTTTAACCTTAAAAAATGTTCTTTGTGTACCTCATGCCTCACGTAACTTGATTTCGGTTTCCAAATTATGTCAAAATAATAATGTGTTGGTTGAGTTTCATCT